AGGATCGAGTCCCGCATCGGGCTCCCTGCTCAGTGGGGAGTCTGCTTCTCCCTCTGCCCCTCACCCTGCTCGTGCTCTCTCTCTCTCTCTCAAATAAATAAATAAAATCTTTATATTAAAGAAATAAAAGCTTTATTGTTTTATCTTTCCCCTCTATCTCTGTAGTCCATTTGGTATGGATTTTTGTATATGGTATGAGGTAGAGATCAAGATTCTTTTTTTCCCCATGTGCATATCTGATTGACCAAGCATCATTTTTATTTTTTTTTTTTGAAGATTTTATTTATTTATTTGACAGAGAGGGACACAGTGAGAGAGGGAACACAAGCAGGGGGAGCGGGAGAGGGAGAAGCAGGCTGCCCGCGGAGCAGGGCGCCCGATGCGGGGCTCGATCCCAGGACCCCAGGATCGTGATCCAAGCTGAAGGCAGATGCCTAATGACTGACCAAGCATCATTTTTAAAGAGACCTCCTTACTTCACTGCTCTGCAGTGTTGCTGGTGTACTTTTGACAGATGGTAGGGATGAGGATGATAAAGTACAGGTGGAGTGTGACTTTATCTTGTGAGACACAGGAATTCTGACTCGTATTCTCAGTCTCAAGGAAAAGAATTTCTCTTTCTTCCTCACAGTAAGTGGGAATTTTCACTGTGCTTTTGCTTCTAGGATACCAAGAGTTCGTGTTCTAGAGGATGAAGAGGGGTCCAAGGACATTGAACTCTCAGATGACCCTTATGACTGCATCCGGCTGAGTGTGGAGAACGTCCCCTGCATTGTCACCCTGTGCAAGGTATGTGCTTTTATCTGATGGTTTTTGAATTTGCCGTGGGCCCCCTTCAGCCCCAGTCCATTAAGATTACTTAATAGGTTGAGAAGTTACAGTTGCACAAACCACGTGCAAGTAGCGTTAATCCAAATCCAGTAATTTGGTTTATATTAGAAACCAGTATGTGAGCAGCTCCTTTTTTTTTTTTTTTTTTTTATTGGAAGATACGATGGAGTCCCAGGAATGCACACGTGGGTTCGTGGTAATAGTAGCTCGAGTTTGTTAAGCTCCTCCGTACCAGGCATCTCACTCAAACACCCTGTATGCACGTCTATGAAATGAGGGGTTAGAGCAGGATCTGGGGATCTGTTATGTTAAGTGTGGTTTTTACACGAGCACAGAGGCCTGTGGAGCCTCACCTCTGGTCGGTGCTGTCATGTTCCTGGCACTGCCCAAGGCTGTGCACCAAGGCCTGTCCCTGAGTCCACACAGGATTCATATAGAAATAGGACCGAGTGGGTCAGGTTTAATTCCCCTGAAATCACTTCACGAGCCTGGGGTATGGTGAAGCATTGGGACTGACCAAAGCCACCTGCACTTGACTCATTCTTGAGCGTGTCTCTTCGCTTGCACCCTTTTGATTCATCTTTGTCATCAGTGAAACATCCACGTGGCTTCACGTGTCAGTTTCTCCCTGCGCCCCTCTATTGGAGACTCTTGGTGGCCTCTGACTTGGAGGGTCTCTCAATTATGGCTCTAGCCCCACCCCCACCCCCGTATTTCTTCTCATGCTTTTGTAATTCTGCTTCCATAGTGGCCTGTGATAGAATTGTTGAACATTGCTTTTGGTGTTTTCCATGTGAGCAGAATCTAAAATAAGATTTTGAATGGGGAGTGTGGGTTCTTCGCTGGTGTAGATACTTCCTCCACGAGGCTATCAAGGGTGGGGATCTGGGATGTGTGTTACCCTCACGTGAACTCTGCTGCCCTGACTTTGCAGATTGGCTATCGGCATGTCGTGGATGCTACTCTTCAGGAGGAGGCCTGCTCCTTGGCCAGCTTGCTGGTGTCCGTGACCAGCACGGGAGTCGTGACGTGCATGAGGAAAGTGGGGAAGGGCAGCCTGGACCCAGAGAGCATCTTTGAGATGATGGAGGTGAGGCTCCAGCCTGAGGCAGGTGCAGGCACCTGACAGGGAGCGTTTGCTGCCTCTTGCCCCCTCGGTCCCGCCATGGGAATTCTCCCTTTGCACCTTTGACCCCAGAGTGTGAGCTGGTTGTCTGCTGACCTAGCCAGGGGTGGAGGCGATAGGGGCTCTGGCCTGAGAGATAAGGACCCTGTCAGTCACTGTTCCTCGTCCTCTCCCTCTCTGATCCCACATTTCCATGTCTCTGGATGAAAGTGTTGGACTGATTACGTGGAGTCGCTTGTAACTCCAAAATCCCAGGCTTTTGCGATCTGGTGAGGGAACTGGGTTCCTGCCTGACCGCTTCCTGTCCTTTGAAGGGAGTGAGTAAAGGTAGAGGCACAGTGGGGGCCTACCCTGAGTGCTCAGTAGACGTCAGCCCTTCTCCGCGCGCTCTCTTCGGCGCCCTGAGCTCAGGTGTCTAGCCCTGCGTGGCAGCAGGTATTCTTCATGGCCGGTTGGTTAATTGGCTAGTTTCTAGTTTTTTTTATTTAAACAAAACACTTAAAATACTTTATAAGTGCTGCCAGAGGCCTCTCTAGACAATTGGCTTGTCTTAGAAGGAACTCTTTTTCTACCCCCTGGAGAATTTTATGAGAATTCCAGTATGTAAAACAACAAAAGTAATAAGTAATAGTGAAAATTTATTGTGCGCTTACTGTGTGTCTGGCACCCTGTTTCTTAGTGCTTTAAATGTATTATGTCCTTTAGTCCTCAGCCATCCTGTGAGGCAGCTACTGTTGTTGTCCTTCGTTTTATAGTCGTGGAAATGGAGACGTGTAGTAGATAAAGTCACTCGCCTACGGGCTTCCCAGCTCGTAAATGCTGGCGCTAGGATTCAAACCCAGACAGTGTGCTTCCAGAGCCTTCCTGCCGCCCCCTGCAGCCACACTGGGCTATTTTCACCTTATACGCAGGTGTGCTGTGGCTGCCAGAGCTCCGGCTGGTGAGCCGCCCTGCATCCTCCTCTGGGGTGCGGCGAATGCGGTCTGCAGACCCTGCTGTGGGGGGGGGGGTACTGTGGCCCGAGGCCCCGTCTCACTGCTCTGGTCTCACCCAGGGATGCAGCCATCCGGAAGTGCCTGCCGTGACATGTACAACATCCGGGTAGCTGTACAGGCCGCCGCCCCAACCTCTGCCATTCACATTCCAACCCCCCAAGTCCCGGTGTCCTGCCTGTCCCCTCCCCGCTTATCCTCGCTCCCCGCTTTCATTTATGTGGACAGTCAGTACCCCTGTCTGATCGACCGACATTTTCTCTTTCTCTCATGTTTTGGTAAAAATCTTTCCACGGTCGCTTTGGACCTGAGCCCTGGCTTTGCATTTCATACAGTTGATCACTTCCCACTTTTAGACTGAGATCTTTTCGTATAAGTTTCTAGTAATCCTTGGAGTCCCATCCTGTGTTACAGTGAGAGGCCAGGGCAGAAGGTCCCTGGAACTGGGAGGATTGGGCTGGGGGTCTAGGCCCAGGCGTCTGGCTCCCTGTCGTTGCTGAGAGTGGTACCGTGGCACGGTGGGGTTAAAACTGCTCTGGGAACACGGCCGACTCGATGAGGGGGGAGGCTGGTGGTGGGTTCCTCAGAGTGAGCTCAGACACAATCACAGTTTCATAGAGATTTTTGTATATGAGTGGTTTTCTGAGGGGTCCCCGTGTGGCTTCTGCGTAGGGGCTCATTAGGAACTCGGTGGGTTGTGTGACCTCCTGATGCGTCTCCTTCCAGCGTTCCCTGCCTTTACCATCTCTGCGTGGCAGCAACGGCCGAGACCCCGTGCAGGGCTCAGCTCGGGCCCATCTGAGCCGCTGTGCGGAGAGATTTGGTGGCAGGTGAAACAGAAACTGCTTGTTCAGACGTGTCCCCAGAACCATCTGTTCCTTCATTAGCCAGACTCCGATTCCCTGTGGCCTCCCTCTGCATCCTCACCACAGTACAGTGGGACTTGGCAGTCACCGGGAGCAGGCTTGGTTGACAGTTTTGCTGCTTGTTGTCATGGCAGCGGGAGTGCTAAGCGCGAGGCTAATGGCCGAGGTTGCCTTCCCCTTCCTGCTGGCTG